GATAATTTAACACCAGCAATGTTACACAGAATTATCAAATCTGCAAAGATTTACAATTGGAGTTTTATTGTCATCTCCCTCGGGAGATGACACATTAAGATTGTATGCCGGAAGTGAAGTCCTAGTGTAAGCCTCCATTTATCTTTCGAGAGTCCTCGATGTTTTACCGAGTTCCAAGTAGCCTGCAAATTGGTTTTCTTTTAGAAGAACTAGCTTAGGAGTGTGTGACCTACTTTCGGTTTAGGCCTATTTGAAAGCCAAGGAAAATTTAGAAAAGAAGTACGATGCTTATAAATATCTATAGTTTCAGTGTGTCGTATATATATTGATCCTCAGTACTATGCCTTATTAAATGGGTAAGCCACACAAGGAGAATTGACAATGACGTGATTTCTATATATACATTTGTTGACAGGAAGGGAAAACTGGTTCTCGCACAAAAGAACAAGATTACAATTATATTCTGCAAAAAATGAATAAAGAGTGGTCAACGCTAATTTTATGTTAATTTTTTAGTCTGTAATTGGATTTATTAAATTAATTCCTGTCAAACTTTAATGATTAGCTCCTTTTAAATGAATTATAATTATTGTTGATAATTCCGTATTGTGTTAAGAAAATATAGTTCGAGGAAAGTATTTGAATTTAAGTAAATTGTAAACACCCAGAACCACAAAAATCGCTAGAATGAAATTTCACCAAAAATAGCCTTGGGTGCTCTCGCAGACGTCCATGCTTTTCATATTATACTGCGGCAAAAAGAAACTGCGTACTTTACTGTGGAGTTTGCTGAATAAGTCATTTGGGAACTTCAGGCGTAATAATCCATATATTCATTGCATTAAAATATCTCCCTTTCTGTTTTATTTCTTTGACATTATTGATACCAAAGAGATGACATTTCAGGCTTTCTGGAAAGCCAAACTTGTGAAGAGACTTACTTTTACATTTGACAGCTTACTTGAACATTTAAACCTGCGTCATGTACGGAGGTAAGGAATTGAAAAAAGTAAATAGAAAACATCTCGAGAGGTGAACGTTATTGTATTCGGGGCTTAGAAATAATTTATCAAACAAAAATAATAATTGATGGTAAAATAAAATTTATTTGGATACTTTATTCACGAGAATTAATATATCCTTTTATTTTGAATAACTTGGGAAATGAAATAAAGAAGAAGACAGATTTCGGTAGGAAAACTCGGCAGAAGTTAGTCAAGACTTGAAGGGAGGGTGTTGAGGGTAGGAATATTGCCGTTTTCGTCCTGGATAACGTAATATTATCTTTGAAATAGCCCGTTAATATCTTTTTGTTAAATATTAAGATAAATATTTTTTCACAAAAGAGCTACCGTATATTTTCCAGTTGTAAAAGTAAGCCGTCAACTGTAAAAGTCAGTGTCTTCGCAAAAGTCCATTCATAACGTTTTTGATTTTAGTCGTACGTTCTTTCATAAAACAAGTCCCAGGTGTTTAGGACTGTCATTCAAAAAGTATCTGCGTATTAGCCCAATATATTTTACAGAAACCACCGTGATCTAAATATTGATCAATTTCATAAAGCACGGATAAGAAAATATAAAAAGATGTATTGGTATTCCTCTATACTTCTTTACCAACAAGAGGCCCATGGGCAACATCGCTCATCTGAGCACTAAGGGTAGGAAAAAGTAGAAAATGGCTTTTTATTGTAAAGTTTAAATCCAAAAGTAGTCCCATGACCAATCATGGATTAGCTATTTTTTAGAAAATGATTTTTAAATAATTTTCCTATATATATCTTTTAAAACTTTGGTCGGCCATTTTGGCCCCGCCCTACCCCTGGGGTCATGATTTGAACAAGTTTGAATCTACACTACTTGAGCATGCTTCCATATAAATATGATGAATTATGGCTTTGTCATTCTTGAGAAGAAAATGTTTTAAGAATTTTCCTGTATATTTCTATGCAAAGCTTTGGTCAGCCATTTTGGCCCCGCCCTAACCCCGGGGGTCATTATTTGAATAAACTTTAATCTACACTACCTAAACATGCTTCCATATAAATATGATGAATTATAGCTTTGTCATTATTGAGAAGAAGTTTTTTAATGAATTTTCCTATATATGTGTAAAACTTTGGTCAGCCATTTTGGCCTCGCCCTCCCCCTGGGGGTCATGATTTGAACAAACTTGAATCTACACTACCTGAGCATGCTTTCTTATAAATATGATGAATTATGGCTTTGTCATTCTTGAGAAGAGGATTTTTAAAGAATTTTCCTATATATTTCTAGAACTTAGAACGGCCATTTTGGCCTTGCCCTAACCCCGGGGGTCATGATTTGAACAAACTTGAATCTACACTACATGAGGATGTTTCCCCATAAGTTTCATCTTTCCTGGCACAGTGGTTCTTGAGAAGAAAATTTTTAAACACCAAATTTTCATTAATTCCCAATTATCTCCCCTTGAATGAATTGTGGCCCTTCATTTGAACAAACTTGAATCCCCTTCACCCAAGGATTCTTTGTGGCAAGTTTGGTTGAAATTTGCCTAAGCGGTTTTTGAGAAGAAGTCGAAAAAATATAAAAAGTTTACAGACAGAGAGACGGACAGCTAGACAGACAGACGGACGCCTGACAAAATGTGATCAGAAAAGCTCACTTGAGCTTTCAGCTCAGGTGAGCTAAAAACTATAAATAAACTATAAATAAACAAGATATTTTAGTGAAAACTATGTTTCCGGCAGCAAAAAAAAAAAAAAAAAAAAAAAAAAATCGAAAAAAGCTATATTTAGCATGTAGGTAACAGCCATGTTCATTGACCTTGGTTTCATGTGCTAGCTACGATGGAATACTAAAAAGCTTTTTTTAGCATACAGGTCACAGTCAAGGACACAGTCATTGACTTTGGTGCCATTTGAAAGAACTTTTTCCGTGAGTTTGCACACCAACTTTGCAATTTCTATCGCCTATGGTTTAAAAAAATGGCGAAAGTACGAAAAAGGTTTTTTGAGCAAATTCGTCACAATCAATATCACAAGGTCATTGGTTTTGGTGTTATTTGAAAGTGCTTAATTAGTGGACTATGCATATTGAATATCAAGTCCCTATCTCTCATGTATGGCACGACAAATTCACAAAAATGAGCAAAACAAAGTTTCACAGTCGATATACTCGGTTGCAAACTATATATAGTTTACGGACTGTAAACTATAGTTTACAACGTTAATCTATATTTTACATCTGTGAACCATTGTTAAAGCGATTATCTATGTTTCAGAACCGTAAACTATACTAAACGCCGAAAACAATCATTTACGATTGCAAAACATAGATTATCTATCAAATACAGTTTCATTGTTAACTATGGTTTACAACTCTTAACTTTAGTTAACGATCGTAAATTATAGTTTACAGACGTGAATCTATGTTTATCAACAAAATCTTTTGTTTCAGAAAAATAAACTTAGATCAGCATTCGTTAACTATAGTTACCAACCGTTAAATATAGTTTTACAGATGAAAACTATAGTTAACTTATTGTAAATCATAGTTCACGGTTTGTAAACTATAGTTTACAGTCGATAAACCTAGTTTATCAATTGTGAAGCTACATGTAGGTTTAGCACATTTTTGTGAATTTGGCGTGCCATACTCATGGTATAAAAGTTATGGAGAAGGTTAAAAAAGTTATTTCAACATATATGACGTATGTCGTAGTCAAGGTCACCAGGTCATTTACTTTGGGTTTATTTGAAAGAGCTTTATAAGTGCAATATGCAAACTACATATGATATCTTTCTTTCATGGTTCAAAAAAGGTATGGCGAAGGTTAAAGTTTGCGGACAAACAGTTTCACAGACTGACAGACAGACAGGACAAAAACAAAATACGCCCCGGATCTATTGATCAGGGCGCATAAGAAATCTTAGTTTACGTGTATGGAAGACATTCTCTGCATGTTTTATTTTAAACTGTACCCAGAGTTTAAAATGATAATCCATTTCATAATCTTTCGATGAATGTACATGTTTGATACATTTAAAATATGAGAGTTTTAAATGACTATAAAACAAATGGAAAAATGTTAAAACGCAGTGAATATCAACAAGAAGGAAGTAATTAATCTTTTGTTGCACGATGCACTTAAAAATATTGTGTAATACTGTTTTCTTTTTCTTTTTTAAGTTTCACTTACTCGAAACATCGATATATGTATCTAAAGAAATTACAAGGTTTTCTAAATATAAAAACAAATGAGAAAATAAACAAAGAATATTTATATCAAATCTGTTTCTAAAAATTAATGAAGAAGCAGGAAGCTTAGTTTTCATGGCTTAAATTCTTGACTTTGATCAGCACGCACATTCGAATTTACTCAATCATCTTTCATGGTTTAGATGTGGATTATCAGGGAAAACTTTTTAAGCGTTGTTATACCTACTTCCATAGAGTTCCTAAACTGTCCAAACAATTATTACTGCGTTCATTAAAGATGACAAAAATCGTCGAGACATTTTTTTAATGGAAGACAAGATTATTGTTATGAAAACGTGGTTACGTAAAGAATTTCATACTACCTTAAAAAGTGAGGATAGTTTATAAAGAAAATTAAAAGGATGAAAAATAAGGAAGGTTGGAACAACTTTTTTTTTAAATTAAGAAATACAAAAACATTTTTCTTTCAGTAAAAATCATGTTTATTATGGGAAGTTTGGGCATGTCAGTAACGACCTTCACACATCTTTGCGCTGGTAAGAGAGTACAATATTTTAAATAAATGAAGAGTTTCATTAAAATAAACATTTCTTTTAAACTAAAGTGTTTCCTTCACAGATTGTAGGCTTGATGATATATTTCCACGGTGTAAAAAATGTGCAGCATTTACATCTGAAGAAGGTAGAGTCTTTTTACATATATAGTATTATACAAGTACATGTACTCAAAAATTTATAATTAAGTAAGTATGTTCATATAATATGTCAATACATGTATATTACATTTAAAGAGTTTGATATGATTTCCTTTTCGTCTATTGCAGGAATATTTTCCTTTCAATGTGAAATAAATTATTTACCATTACCATGGAGAAAGACCAAATTTACGGCTTTGTGCTCCAGTAAGAATTATAGATTAAAAAAAAAACAAAAAATAAATAAATAAACAAACAAACTAAAAATGACTTCATCAAAAAATAACCATAGCTTTAATTTCATACATACGTGTATATGTATATAGATTGTGTAAAGTAATTTTTTATTTTTCAGTTTGTATTAAACCTGAGAATGATGAGTTCGTTTGCCAGAAATGCAATAAATTTGCTGAAATAAAAGGTAATTAATACCAAAAGAAATTTCTAAGAATGATCAAAACCGAAATGTAAGTACAGTATGTAAAAAAAAAAGATATGAAATACTCTTCATGACAAGTTAAGCCTAAATTCATATGAACTGAATTCAACTAATAGAAGTAAAAATTTATTATTTACATTTCAAGGTTTGTTCATAAAAAATTAGCAGACATGTTTTCTATAAAAGAATGTTACTATAAAATTACTAAGCATATTTTTTTTTTTAAATTCAAATTGTAATCTTAAACATATCACTTTACGTCCATCTACTGAATATTTAAAATTATGAAGCCATGAAAATTTTAACGAAACTGTTATTGACAATTCGTCGTCAAAAGGTAGGTGTATCATCACTTTTTCTTGAATTTCAATTCGATAAATATCAGATTTCATTTTGCGGCATAAAATGCATTGCAAAGTTTTCAAGCTATAGTGTATAGACTGGTTCTCTTTGTATAGGAAATCACCGGGTTTTTTTTAACTATCAATATATATAGAAGAAATGACGCTAAATGAAATTGAACAAAGATAAAGAGTCACTCGAATATCAACAAAGAAAGGCATTCTATTTTGTTTATGGATGAATTTTTTTTTATTCATCCCATTACGACAAACCTTAAATTGCTCAAAAGTAGTGATTTAGTCCCTAATTGTAGTTTTAAAATGAAGTTTGGGTTAGGTTTTTGACAACATAGTATTTCTGGATTTTATTTAAAAAAAACCTTTGGAAATGCAAAAGACAGAAGTAGGTGCATAGAAGGAGTGAACACCCTCTGTCAATAAGTCACACCTGTCGAGAGCGTAAAATTTACAAGGGGTGTTCAAAAAGTTTGCGAACAAATTGCATAACTTTCATAAAACAAATTAAAATATGTTTCATTGTTGATTCCTTTCTAAAGTAGACCTTTGACTTTAATGCAAATCTGCCACCGTTCTGCCCCTGACATGCTCTGAAGCATGGTGTTTCATAGACGCTAAAATAATTTTCCGAATCTTTTATTTTTAACCATGCACGTTGATGTTTATAACAAGAACAGTTCATTTGTCAGAGATGACCAAATCTTGGTAATAGGATGGTTGGAAAAGGATATCTTTTGCCAGAAAGAACATGGTGGCCATCACAATCCAAGTCCTCTGCCGTAGAAACATCATTTATCCAATGTGGATACATGCACTTTTAGGGGCCTTTTTGTAAATTTACTATTTTTAACGTCTAAAGGATATTTTAGAAATTCAATAACAATATAATTGTTAAAATATTCAATTATTTTGCTAGCTGTATCTACGCAATCTTTTATAACAAATTGTCTAACAAAGGACACATCTCTTCCTCAGCTACAAAACAATCGTCATATTTAACCATCTCATCATTAAAAAATCAATCGAATGTCTAGAAAGTCTATTGTCTTTATAAACCACGTAAAAAATTTTATAAGATACATGTACTTACTTGATCCCAGGTCTGATGTTTCGGAGGTCTGTGTTTGCTCTGCTCTTACTTTGTATTGTTTTATAAACTTTGATATTGAATATTGTTCGTTAACTCCACATCCTTCTTCGAAGGAATTTCTAAGTTATACGTTAAGCCTTATCTCTGTTCGTTTTTGGAGTAAGACTGTGACAACCATTTTTCGTCACGAGTCACCTACATATTGACGTCATTCTCACATTGTGGCGTCAAAATGATGGAGAAAATTATTACTTTTCATATGCTATGTATCGAGCATGTGTATGACGATAGGTGTGACAAATTTCATTCTCATCTGAATCGTGGTTTTGTAAATATAGAGAGAAAGTTCGCGAACTTTTTGATTGTCCCTCGTATATACTCTGTGGCCAAATATAGTGTAAAACAAAAACCTTTAGTTGCTATAACTTTGAAATACGTCAGTTAACACAATAGGCTATATTTCCTAAAAAGTCATCATAACAATCATCGAATTTACGAAAAGCTTAATTCAAACTAAGGTGTTAAAATCTTTGTAAAATCAGCCTTTCTTTCAGTATCTTGTCTTGCATTAAAATAAATCTGACCCAGATTATGTCCTTGAGTAAAGAATAAGTTGGAGGCTATAAACATTGATCGCTGTGCCTTCAACACTTGCTTTAGCGGTTCAAAATTGTTGCAAGACTTGTTCTAATGCGCAGGAAGCATATCAGATAATATTTGTGGCACATAATTAAAAACTTTTTAGGACATTGGGGTATTTTGTAGAGTGATTATCTTTTAGTTTTTACGATTTTTTCCCTTTCTTCCTACTGAACATTTGATTAATAAGTGTAATAAGTGTAATAAATAATAATTGAACACGTGATAAATTAGTGAATAAATTTAATAAATGTAAATTTTGGGAAAAAATATCTAAAATCCCCTAGGTTGAATATCGGAAGGAGGGGGTCCTGTCCACAAGTACCTGTGCATCATCAGTATTTTACGAATTATGTTTTCGTGATCATATTTTGATTTCATTATGAAAAAAATATGGATATTTTCAATTTCTAGAATGTGAGCCGTGTCCTGAATGTAATCCTACAACTATCGTGGCGAAAGAATGTACAGAAGAGGTAACGCCCGAAACTCAAAGTCCCTCTACATTTGGTAGGTCATAAAAACGATTACAAAGTCGGAATATATATTTAAATGATCGAATATATATCATTTTACAAAAAAGTTAATAAAACATATACCGTATAACATATTGTAAAAGAAAAAGATATTTCTTGATAAACTGACAAGAAGAGGATTTATTTCCTTATAAATGTACAGTCCTTATTTGAATTAAAACTAGAGGTACTGTGAGCAATGAGCTCACTAAATGATACCCCCGCCTCCATATACTAGTAGTTTTAATAGCAAAGTCCATGTTTTGATGAGGCTGGAAAACCCAAAATATGTGTCGGATCAAAAAGTAAAATATGAGGTCACAATGGCAATATGTAATAAAGATTCTGTGAAAGTTCATCAAATTTCCTTCAGTGGTATGAGAGGAGTTGCGGATAAAAGATGGGTACCCCAAAGCGTAACAGATTGACGTACGTACGTACGTACAGACAGACGGATGTACAGACGGACGGACGGACGGAGACGGACGTACATACCGATTACAGTATACCCTCCCACTTTTCAAGCAGAGGGTATATAAAAAAGAGAAAACAACACATATCAATTGGTACCAACAATTAGTGAGAAACGACCTGAATTTTCTTTTTCTGTATTTATGGTAACGATATAATACTTGCTGTATTTAAATGTTTACTGTCATCTATATTGTTATAAATTAAGTGCGACTGCAAATCATATCTCCAGTTTACGATATTTTATTTATTTTTATATGAGCGTAATTAAGATTCATTCACAAAATGGTTATCATGACAAGTCATGTGTTACAGTGTATACATTACATGTATCTCAAAATGCAATTTGCTTGACTACTTTCTAAAGGCTGCATACACTATTTTTTAGCCATTTATTCATTCCAGGATTAGACGTTACACGAAATGTTTAAAAATATAATTATCGTGTGAGCCATTGGCTTAGATAAGCTTACCTGATCGAAAAAGGGGGCTAAAAAAAGCAAGAGCCACTTTGGGCCTTCTTTGGCACTAAGAATTTCTGAAAAATCAAAACCGCTCAGTTAAGGTTGCAAATGCAGTATTTATCACTTTGAGTGCTTGTGACTACGTATCTATTAATTGTGACGTAATTACACAGCTAGTCAATGCATTATGACGTCATAAAATGCGTCATTTTCCTCATATTGTCTAAATTTCTTTAAAAATGACCTAAAATTGAAGCATTTTTTCAATATTTCATATAGAGCACAACCTCTGATCCAAAATATGCAAATACATAATGAAAGCTTTATTTCTGAAGATCAAAAAACGTGTTTTATTTTTTGTATCATGGGCTGTGCTCATATTTTAATTCTTTGCTGAAGGAAGGCAAATACGCATGTTTTCTGCAAATTTCAAGAACAATGCAATTTCTCAAAGCCTGTTTTCCAATATGTGGATTCTCAAAATGAAATTTTATTATAGAAAAGGAAAGTACCAAGTGTCTACTATTTTTTTTATATATGAAATGGGAAAGAGGCTGATAGTTAATTTATTGATATAAGTACAGGGCCATTTTATGCATAAGATGGCTATTGCTATTTCTTAACATGAAGTACCACAACCTCATGTAAGAACAGATGATTTAGGATTTCTAAATTAAAAAATGTAGTATATTCTCAAGAAAATCAAAACCATTACTTATTTATTAAAATCAGTAGCATCTTCAGGTTATGTACAGAATAAAAACATGACCCCCGATGGTAGAGCAGGACCATTACAATTTAAACGTTAATTTTATTTAGATGTTTTAAAAATCGTTTCATGTTGTTTATTCCCATATTATCAGTTTCTAGTTATAACTTTTATGTCTATGATCAAATTATGATTTCGTTATCGTAAAAAACTTTCATTTTCCAATCTCTAGAATGTAAGCCCTGCCCTTACTGCAATACTACTACTATCGTGCTGAAAGAATGTACAGAAGAGATAACACCCGAGACTCGAAGTCCTTCTACATTTGGTAGGTCATAAGAAACTATTGGTAGGAATGTATATTAAAGTCGTCGAATCTTTCATTGTACATAATAATGAATAAAACGTTTATTAAAAGAAAACAAAAGATATTTACAAATAATACTGAATGACAAAGAGAGCATTTATTTACTTACAGTTCTTATTTGAATTTTTTTGAAAAAAAATATACATGATATGTCATTTTACCACAGTTTACGATAAAATGAATTGATATGAACGTAATACATGCACCAACTGTCAGTCTTGACAAATTTTATTTTTCTAAATGCAACTTTCTTGGTTACTGAGAAAAATACGTTAAACACAAGATGGCAGAGTTTTGATGCAGTGCCGAACTGTAATAATTCTGTAAATGTTTCTAATTGTCAACTGATTGACCATCTGAAAAAAAATAATAAAGAAAACATCAGGATATTGTTGTGGTATCAAATCAAAGTGCTTGGTTTGTCCCCATTTTGTATTGTTTGGTGGGATTTTAAGCATTTCATGAGTTACTTTTATATTTAAAGGTTTGTCCCAGAATGCCCCACTGTAAATTAATTACATATCATTTGTATATTCAATGAATTATCCAAAATTTCATCAATTTCTCATGACCTATTCCCCATGATTTTCAACAGGAACTTAACTGTCTATTTCTCAAAATAACATTTCGTTTCGGAAAAGTTTATTATATGTGCGCAATGAAGAAATAAAAAGAGAGAAAATAGCCCGAATCAATGGGCACTACCAATTGCTTAGAAACGACCTCAATGTTTTTTTCTGTAGTTATAGTGACTACATATATTACGAAAGCCTATTAGGATCAATCTAAAGAGAAAATTTGTTTTTAAAAGGCGTTATAACGCCTTTTCAAAAGGCGTACTAACGCGAAAGGAAGGCGTTATAACGCCTTTTCAAAAGGCGTTATTACGCCTTTCAATTCCAAAAAGGCGTTATAACGCCTCTCTGAAAGGCGTTATTAGGCCTTTCCATTCAAAAGGCGTTATTACGCCTTTCCAAAAGGCATTATAACGCCTTTTTAAAAGGCGTTCTTATGCCTTTCCAAAAGGCGTTATAACGAATTTCTAAAAGGCGTTATTATGCCTTTTCAAAAGGCGTTATTACGCCTTTCGAAAAGGCGTTATTACGCCTTTTATTTTCAATACATATCTGAACATATTTAGCCAAACGGAGGGGGGGGGGGTGCAGAAATCGTACCTTTGAGACATGAATTTCACAATTAGATATAGGACTAATTTCTCAAAAAGATAATTTTAATTTAAACAGATAGCAATTAGATTTCCAGGAAATAAATTTAAAACTACAAGATGCATCTGCTTATATCCCAGATCTTCACAAGTAGAGTGTCGCCTTATCTTAATACGAATGCACACAGTTGTCAGTTAGATGTGCAGCAATATAGAGAATTGCATAAATAAAGATAGTTTTGATTAAATCTTTCATTTATATTTATTAAAATAAAATAAAGCGTGTCCATTTTTTTTTTCAAGTAGGCCAGTAGTAGAGTGCAAATGGGGTACCCACATCCACACTTTTTGGGGAAAAGTCTAACAGTTTAAATATTAGAATTAACTATTGGTTGCTTGGTTCCTGAACATTTTGTTGTAGTGTGTAAAACTGTGGCTAATTCTTGCATTTAAATAAAGTTTTACCGAGAACCCCTCCCCACTACTTTCGCCAGTAGAGTGGGGTGGGGTGGGGGGCTATTCAAAGCATGGGTCTGTTAAATGTAAAATAATGGTTATTCCAAAATCGTAAAAACCCTTTTGGAAAGGCATAATAACGCCTTTTAGAAAGGCGTAATAACGCCTTTTGGAAAGGCATAATAATTAACGCCTTTTTAAAAGGCGTTATAACGCTTTTTGGAAAGGCGTAATAACGCCTTTTGAATGGAAAGGTGTAATTACGCCTTTTGGAAAGGCATAATCACGCCTTTTAGAAAGGCGTTATAACGCCCCTTGAAAAGGCGTTATAACACCTTTTGAATGGTAAGGCGTAATAACGCCTTTTAAAAAGGCGTTATAGCGCCTTTTTGGAAGTAAAAGGCGTAATAACGCCTTTTGAAAAGGCGTTATAACGCCTTTTTTCGCGTTATTACGCGTTTTTTCTCTTTAGATTGATGCTAATAGGCTTTCGTTATATATAATTAAATATTTGCTGTATTAAAATGTTTGCTGTCGTCCACTATGATATAAAATTATTTTAACTGTAATCATATTATTTCTATTAATAGTTAAATTAATTTTTCTTTTTATTATAAGCCTATCATACATGTAATATTGTTTGCCTATAAACTGAAAATAGAGAACAAAGTGTCAAAAAACATGCCTTTTATTCATAATAGAGAGTGTATCTTGTCCAGTATGTGCTCCCACAGACACCGTACATGTAACTGCGAACGTAATTATAGAAGAAGGAACTTCCAGAACCCAGGATCAAAGCCCTTCTAGTTTCGGTAGGAAATATGACACTAATGTTTTAATTAGAAAAAGGAAACAAAACTAGATGCGATCTCGTTGCGATCAACGAGAGGTCTTCCGTCCGATTCTGAAAAAGACCCCCAAAATCAAGCTGAAAAAGTAAATCAAAAATGTTGGACACAAGGTGGGTTGAACTCAAATAACCAGCATGAAAATCAAGCGCACTAAATACTACGCTATTGGGTTTACTTGTACGAGGGGTGTTAACAAGTTCTATTGTGAGCGCGCTATTTTCAAGAAACCAGTCAAACTTTTCAGATAAAATCTTAACCTATTTTCCAATAAATATACAAAACTTTGGTGCTTTGCAGTGCTCATTGCAAAACATACAACTGTTTTAATTTGATAAATCTTGCTTTACGGAGCATGCTACATTTTGGCACGTTTACATCACATAGACTCTTTATCAAAATTAAAAATTGCACAATTGTAGTGCAAAGAGATTTGTTATATTTTACCTGTCGCATAAGTATTCATGAAACATCACCGGGAGATATTTTGGATCAAATTGGAGGGTATATGACTGTTTTATAGCAATTTATAAATGATCAACACATAAAAACACAGCCAAAAATCGGTACGTCATGGAGCGTCATGGAGCACTGCGCTACGTAAAAATTATGAATGCAGACAGGAAAATGTCTAAAAAGAGATTAAAATGTGCAAGATGCTGCCGGGAATTTCCTACACATACAAAGGACAATAGTTTTCAAATTGTTGTAGCTTTATAAGAATGTAAAGATTAACATTTTGAATGATTAACCTCATCGATACTTAAATACCCCTTTATTGCATGGACGTTGTGCCTTTATGGATTTGCATAGTTTCCATACCTGATCGATTAACGGCATAGACTTTTTTTCCCAAAGATCTCAATAATAACCGAATCAGTTCAAAAGACATTATAGTAGAAAAGTAACATGTCTTGATATAGATATTCAAATTTAGAGTAGAAAAAAGAAAAGAAAAATCGGAAAAAATGAAAGATTTAATGAACTGCGACAAAGCTTAACGTGTTGAAATCTGGCTGTAACGTCGCCTTACGTCAAGTGATTGCTCAGTGAATCCCATGACCTCATAGTAAAAATCGTAGTAAATTGTTAAGATTGTAGTAAACGGACCTGATTTCTTACATACAAATAAACAAATTGTAGGAATTTATTCAGACATAGGTCATACTTCACAGTACACAATAGATTTTCCGTAATTCAATGTGTCCGCGAGCTTTTCTAACAACCCTCGTATATATATACTTCTGCAACAGTGCATCTGTCTAGGAATTTTGAAAGGCGGGTCACTATTCATAATTTCGAAATTAGAAACGATGAAAATTCGAATTTGAAAGTAAATTACAAATATCGTAAATCTACACTAAATCTCATATTTTTATAAATTTTTAGCTCAGATAAGCCATATCTAGCTTTAAGAGATTGAAGGATATACATCATTTATATATAGACTTTCATGGCTTATTATCGATCAGATCGATGATTAACAAAGCATGTGGTACATGTAACTTTGAAAAAATTTAACTATCTAGAACGATAACTGTGTGTTATATTCATTCTGCAGATTAATGCAGAAGTCAATGTCATGATTTTGAACTAAAGGACAAATTAAAGGAATCATCACCTAATAAACAAAGGAAATAAATGTCTTTAAAAAAAACAAAAAAGATATAATAAATGTCACTTAGTAAAACAAAGATTATTATCAAGGTTCGTACATTCATTTCGTTGAAATACCTTGATTTCTAAAAGAATTCATACAAATGAATTAATTTTTTGCTAATATTTTCAAAAAAATTGATACAGCCATACAATGAATTAAATAAATTGAAGAATGTTAAATATTTGATAAATATTAAACGTGGTTTTTATCATTAACCGGCGTATGTTCATTTCTACAGTATTAAGATACTTGGATGGCATAGTTTTTACTGGAGAAAGAACAACTTTTAAATAAAGGCTTAGATTAAGTAAAACTGTTATCGGTCTGTTCATGTTTCTTTAAGTTGATTTATTTATTTTTTTTTATATAAAACTGTTCATGTAAAACTAAATACCTTCTAAATTTTTTTTAATTCCTAGAATGTGCTTCGTGTCCAGAATCTGGCTCTGCGTCTACTGAGGAGAGGACACTTGCAGATGAGGGAACTTTTAAATGGCAAATACAATCAAGTTCAGGTAGGTTATTAAAATACATGTAACATCATGAGAAAACTAAACTATCTTTGGGTAAAATTTGATCATTGTTCATCATAAAAAAATTAAGACAGTTAATTATTCTTATTTTAAGTTTTTGCTATCATATATTATGCCTTAGGCACATTTCCCGGCTGGTGGCCGTAGACCGATGGACCGTGGTAATCGGTGGTAATCCGTGGTGTGAGCGATGTCTTGCATCATCGGTCTACATCGGCCTGGTATAGTCCTTAAAGAATCAGTCATATTGTCCAGCGATGGGGTATACAATAGGCAACCAATGTGATTTTTGATAAAATGGTGTGGTTGCTGGCCGGACTTACAAAGGCCCAGCTATGCATTGCTAATCATAAGACGATGTAATAGGCCGATGAAGATTACGTCGATCAGACATTGGTGAACATCATTCGTACACATGTACGTCGGTCAACTATGGGTCAATGTTTGGTCGACCATCGAGCGATTATCGGCCGATGTCTCTTGCCCACCACTACATCCCCCCTCCGATGACCTCAGATTCAACGGGCACTTGACGATTCTCGGCCATACATCGGCCAATCCTTGAAAGATGTAATAATAATGGGTTGCCGATGAGGAGCGACATCGCGTACAGACATCGCTGATTTTAACTACAACCTTTTTATACCGTTGACCCCTACCGATTCACCAAATGGACTTATCACCGTCCAGTGTCCGGTCGGGAACCACGCCATTTTTATCAAAAACGCATTCTCATTGTATACCCCATCTCTGGATAATGCGACTGATACATGTACTTTTTCGATCAAAAATAGACGATGTTCAACACAATTCAACCGATCTGTTTTTCGCCAGTTTCTAATTAATCCGTAAAAATATAATGTATACTTGTACAATACACATGTAATTATTATTTATTGTAAAAGACTTCCTCGGATATATTGGTGCTGCTGTACTGGGTGGAGCTTTCTTTGGGTCCTTCATCACAGCATTTGTTTTTATTGTTCTTCGACGAAGAACATCAAGACAGAAAAGGTAATAAAATTTCTTTTTGAAGAGAGAGTAGTTTTTATGAATTCATAAAAAGAATTCTTATACTTTAATTTTTTGACATTGTCGTCAGAGAACCAACATCGAATGCACTCCACAATTTAGCAGAGCGTGACATTAATCGCCAGTCGGTCCAAGATCACGGCAACGAAAGTAGACGAGCAAGCCTCAAGACTAACAATAAAACGGTACCTTGTACATTCAGCTTCTTCTATTAGTAAAAATTGGTTTTATTTTAGTACATAATCTGTTTCATATTTGAATATTTTACTTGAAAGAAATTTTAATGGCACATGAAACCTACATAAAGTCTACAAATCCTTACGATCAACGTTTTGGTTTCTAATTTTCTATCGTCAACTTTCATTTCCTGTATAGCAATACAATCTTATCACCTATATCTGGATTTTAAGTCTCCTAATTTAATAATGTATAAGAGCATAATTATGTAATTTGTGCAAACAATTCGTAAAACGAGGCAAGCTTTAGATAAAACAAGTTGATGAAACAAGAATATCAACAGTCTCATCGAAAGTCATCAAGTTCAATGGCTAATGCAATGAACGTGTCATTAAATCATTAAGTCGAATGCTGACTGATCTATGTTTTTCATTTTAATTGTTACATTCAATACAATTATTAATATTCTATTCTGTAGTTTTAAATAAAACTCTAATCTCTCATCAAATAGGCAAAAGGCCCTGTGGAAACCACTGAGTTTATTACAGAAGAAGATGGAGTGTACAACCATTTGAATGCATCAGAGACCGTTGATAGAGATGAGTACTATGACCATGCTACAGCAGGTGCCCAGATTCACTCTGAAAACAATGATGATTATGATCATGCAGGGTCTTTATTTCTTACAGTTTCAACAGTCGATGATTATGTTGCCTGAAAACAAAGGAAGTAATACATGTTCGATAAATGTATGATTTGAATAAGATTTTAAAGGAATATTCTTTAAATTAATAAACAATATGTGATATAGAGATTTTGTCACTAAGTATTGTGTTTCAGTATTATTGTTTTTATACTGTTTGACATGAAAGATATTTCCACAACCACATGCACATTTTATATATATATAATAGAAATTCTGTTAATACAGGTAATTAAAAAATTTCATTAAAATATTTTTACAATGACCTCAAATGAGTGTTAGAAATGCATATAAGTTTTCAATTAAAAGTAAAAGACTTTTCATAATTTTGATAAATTTCAACTTCCTGTGATTTTGTGATTTCAAACTGTATTGTTTGGTACGAAACTGGTTTGTATTATTTCTCGCTAAACAGCCATCAGAGGAATAAGAAGTGCAGTACAACTCTGATAGCGCACATTATGCAAATTGTACATTGTAAGTTAATATCTTAAACATATAGATTTGCTCGTAATAATGAAATATGTTTGACAGGTTCATTTATTATTGGCAAAATTGATATTTTGTGCCACTCCAAAATTATTCGAATTGTGCTATATGTGCAAAGGAACTTACTTCGTTACATGTGCATGTATTAAGAACTATCGGACAATGCACTCTTTACTTTTCTTTTGAAGTTTAATTTTTTTGTGACGCCAGCCAGAGTGCTTCTCAATTTATGTATTATTTATCAGTGAAGAGTGATAAGCCTTTGAGACAAATCTTTAATCTAGGTTTTAATGTTTGTTGTGGTAGTGATGGTTACAGAAAAGAATTAGAGGTACTGTAAGCACTGAGCTCACTAAATGATACCCCATTTCCCATATGATTATGATTGCAAAGTACATAAACAGGCTTTGCTCTAGGAATGAAACCCGAAATAATTGTCAGATCAAAAATTTAAACGAAATTCAAAGAATTGTGGTCCCCCGCTTTCGGTGTCTTTTTGAATGAGATGCTATTTTTTATGACGTATATATTGTATCTAATATGAACACCATATAATATGTAATTTATTTAGAAATTATCACTGAAGTTGTTTTTTTTAAATAAGGTCAATCGTGAAGGTCAAGGTCGAAGGTTAAGAAATCATAGCATGCTCGAAGTTATCTTGTCACATGTAATGCACAGTCATGTAAAATATGAAATCCCTTTCTCTTCTCGAAATGTGGAACAAGATGTGTTTTTGAAACACTGATGACCCCGTATGGCAACATAACGAAGATTACACTTTTTTGAAATGCAAATTAATTATATTATTAGCCAAAGTAGGGTTTTTCCCACGAAAAAATACGATTGTGAAATACAAAATCCCTAGCACCACCTGTTCAAAAGTTAAAGTCGAGGATAAATTTTTGAAAGGTAGGTCAAACTCCAAGGTGAAAGGGTCTGAGTTATTGGTTTCTTAAAAAAGGTTTTCTTACAAGAATTACATATGTGAAGTACGAAAGCCCTAGCCGTTACCGTTCAAAAGTTATGGTCAAGGTAAAGTTTTTTCATAAGTACGTTAATCTCCAAGGTCAACGTCAAAAGGTCAAAGTTGTTGGTATCCAATGAAAGGTCTTGCAACAAAGAATATATATGTGAAATATGAAAGTCCTAGTACCTACCGTTCAAAAGTTGTGACCAAGGTTAATGTTTTTATAAAGTAGTTAAAACTCCAAGGTCAAGGTCAAAGTTCTTGGTATCCAATAAAAGGTCATCTCACAAGGATTATTTTTGAACAAGAACAAAAGCCCTAGCCCTTACTGTTCAAATGTTATGATCAAGGTTAGACGAGCGTACAGACGGGCGGACACCCCAATCACTTTATTCCTACTACTTTTCAAGAGAAGGGTATAATAACAGTTTATTTATATAGGCATTACAAAAATTTAACAGACAGAAATTCGATAAAAAATTCAGCTATTTCTTTCCTAACATTCAATTTGCTTCCGACGCCAATGATTTCATAGGCTTACAGCATACAAAAGATATGTCATAAATCACCTAAAGTAACCCAAGCCCTAGGCCTCTGTCAAAAAATTATTTTTCTTATTTATGCAAAATTTAGAGATAACGAACATTATTCAACTAAAAAATCCATTTTACAATACGAATTTTGTAGAGGAGTAAGTATGGGCATCTAAACCATAAGAAGTAAGAGCAGGTCCTATGGAGGAGTGAATATTCCCTACCGGTCGATCACACCAGTCGCATGCTTCTTGTCATAATCGGGAAATAACGTAAAAATCCGTCGACAATTCAGTGTTCATTTATTGGCCCAACAGTTAGCATGAATGAGAGATACTGTCAGCACTGAGCGCACAACATGATACTACCTGCGCCTCCCATATGATTATAATGGCAAAGTCGATGTTTTGCTAAAGAAGACCCGAATTAAGTGTCAGATTAAAAATTAAAATAAGAGATGCACAGTGGTATCATGCAGTAAAGAATCTGTGAAAGTATCATAATAATTTTATTTAGAAATATAGGTGGAGTTGCGGATAAGAGATGGATATTCATCATTATTATTGAAATAATGGCAGTGGCCACGTCTTGCTATAGGAAACCCAAAATAAGTGTCGAATCAAAAAGTAAATAAAGGAAGTACACCTTGTTTCTATGTAACAAATATTCTGTGCAAGTCTCATTAAATTTCATTCACTGTTATAAAAGGAGTTATGGGTATCCCAAAGCGTAATAGACAAACGCACGGACATCGCGATCACTATATATCCTCCTCCTTTTCAAGCGGAGGGTACAAAATGTTTGTCATTATTTTATTAAATTTAATGCTAGATTGTATTTGCTGATTATGCCATTTTATATCTACAATATATAGATCATACAAAATGATGACTGCAAACAAAACTGCTGATATGTTTGTTGATCAACTTTTGTGTTAATAATTTACTTTGTTTTTTTTTTTTAAATTAAACCTAGATAGATCATAATCCTACGTATCGAATTAACTGTGATATAAACCCCATAAATAAGGTGATGATACGATTACATGCAAGGAAAGAAGCACGAAAATGATTTCTCTGTCTTCCAGTTTTTGGGTCAATCCTCATAGAATAATTTTAAACGGGTACTTCTTTGTTTCTAGTTCGATATATGTTCAAGATATTATTTCGGTGAGATCGGTATACTTGTGATTCGATATTTAAAAGGTATATAGAGAATAATACATACCCTTTTTCACATCCTGTATCAGCCCGAGGCACCAATATCAGACAGAGGGCCGAAGGCCCGAGGGCTGATACAGAATGTAATGTTGAAAAGGGTATGTATTAATATGTTTATTACATACTTAGTAATAAAATAAAGCAAACATTAAGTTGAGAAGAAAATACGTATATAATAACTCATGGACTTCAAGATTACATACCTGATATTGTCTCGTACGATTTGGATTTGTTTCTACTTCTATACTAAATACACTCGATCCGTAATTTGAAAATAATCTATTATATTTATTTCAAAATTAAGATTAACCTTATTTTTAGAGTTAAAATTAAGTGAATATGAATGCACCAACCATTGTGTACGATAACAAGTACTGTTTTGTGGTTTAATTTACTAAGGGTGTGATATTGACGTCACAATAGCCGTATTAGCCATGCAGGGCTGATATGGATTTGCGGGGCTGATATAGGTTATCAGCCCTGCAAATTCACATAAGTCCTGCAGGGCTAATACGGCTATTCTGACGTCAGCCATAACGCAAAAAACATGTATTTATTACTAAGTGTGTAATAAAATACAGTAGATGATATATAGATTTACGTTTACCTTAAACTGATCTCTTTATAACATTTTAACATGACCTATGAACAAATGAAGTATATGTAAATTACATCTTTTATGAAATTTAAATTCAAAGTATCTTGTTTATGAAAGATTCAATTGTCATAAATTCTTTATTATTCCAAAATTTACATATATTGTACAATCTTCTAGAATGGAAATCGTCCAACCATGTTAATTTTTTTCTTTTTGCATTTTTTACTTAAAGTTTGTAAAAACAGGACATATTTAAAAGGAAGCAAAATAAAGGCACTATATAAGTCTGGTGTCTTTAAGTATATACTGAATATATTTTGTAAAAAATAACATGACAAGGAAGAAATGAAATGTATTCATTGTTAAATTAAGCATCTTTATCTTTTGAAATAGGAAGTAATAACATGTAGCAATGATAAAATGGACCACAGACCACGTAAATATTTTTTTAAAAATACATTTAAATCATTTTTCTATTTTATATTCTTAATAAAGTGTTTTTATTTTTGCTGTATAGTTTTTAGTTTTCATTTAGGAAAATAAAGTTTATAATAAAATGTATATATTTTTCAGCGTATTATGCCATTATATGCATTCTATGTACTATTTGTTTAAGATGGCGGTGGCTGTGTTTTTGACAAATGTCCGACCACATCTCACGTTCAATCCACAGAAAATATGATTGCCACGACACAAGTTGTCACTACAAGTACGTTTACTTCCATACAATACATATCATTTTGAAAACGATATATACATGTACATGTATACCTGTATAAAATGAATATCCATTGCTTGCCTCCATCAAATATTGCTATCAGTGAGATAAATGAATAAATTTTTATTGCAATCCAGGAGTAATATTAGTTTGAAGTAATATACATTGGCCTACACTCGGATACACTTACGATAGAAGATTATTAGTGGGTATTACTTATTTTCTGCTTTAAGTTTCAATGACAGTCGATTTGTCTTTTCAGATGAGAAATCAACAACCAATTTCATACTAGATGTAAGAGATCAGGGTAATTATTTGTCCGATTTTATACTTGGTAATTGGTAAATATTATAGACTGATTCAATGTAGCTTAACGCGAATTCAGCAACATTTAAGCTTTATGTCTGCAGTTTGTTTATATGAAATAAAAATAATAGCAGTATATGATATATAATTATGAAATATTTTTTTATTATAGTAATATTTAATTATATGACTTTATAAATCATTAGATGCCCTATCTGCAGCTGTAGTTGGTGCCTTTTTGTTTTTTTGCACTTTCAGTGACGATCAAAATTTAAATATCCAGAATCCGGCATACGAGGCCGCAAGCATTCCACGTGTTTATGAAAGAAGAAGCATGGTTTATGATGATATGAAAGATTTTTCGGTATATTCTTTTTCCTTTAGATGATTTTCAAAAATTACAATTGTTTACCACAGTTAACTATTATAGTTAACAATAATTAATATTTTTCTTTTTATGCTCAGAAATAATTACCTTGGTTTACTTTGAGAGCTTGGGTTCCAAAGGTGGTCATAGCCAAGGGGTGGCAATGGGGATAAGCTCCCATTGTCTATAAAATGCTCCTTATGGCGTGCGTCTCAAATAACCTCTGACAACCAAAGTCCAGCTCCTAGCCTGCTCGTGTGACTTTCACCAAGTCCGGCGGAACTGCTACTACTGATAGGAGAAGGGGTGAAGGCGAGTTACCTGGCGCCTGAAAACCAGTGCTTTGGGTAGATGGGGCTCATCAGTCTGGGAGGATAGCTCATCTAAGAGAAGGAAAACTCTGATTTCAAACCTCCGCTGCCTTGCGGTCATACCCAACCACGGGAAAGGCTAGGTGAAGGAAACACTGATATAAAACCAAATGGGCAGACTGTGCTCAATATCCAGGGAAGGAAAGCAGTCTAGGAAGGAAACTCCAAAATCAAACCACCTTTTCTTGAGGTTACTAGAGGTTAGCGTAGGGCCAACAACCCTGCCTATAAAAACAGCAAGTTACAGAAGCATCAACGACAAACCAAAACCAACATAACCTGGGCCAGATTGGGCCTACTTCAAGTGGAACTATGATGCTGTGCAATGAAAGCCGAAAAGAAACTGCAGAGCTGACCCCCTTTCTGACTCCCAGAAAAACCATCAGATTTGCCACCTGGAACATCAGAACAATGTATGAAGCAGGAAGAACAGCACAGGTGGCAAAGGAGATGAAGCATTACAACATCTGTCTCCTAGGACTTAGTGAGATAAGGTGGTTACAGACCGGACAGCTGAGGCTAACCACTGGAGAAACGCTGTTATATTCAGGACACACCCAGGAGGGAGCCCACCACATCGAAGGTGTAGGTCTGATGCTATCCCAGGAGGCACAACGTGCTCTCATCGAATGGGAACCTGTCAACTCCTGGATAATAACAGCCAAGTTCAATACTAAGGAAAGCAAGATCAAGTTAAACATCAAACAATGTTATGCCCCCACAAATGACGCTGATGAGGAAAAGAAAGATGCCGTTTACCAAAAATACAGACAGTCTTAGATAAAACAGGCAAGAAAGACATGACAGTACTCATGGGTGACTTCAATGCAAAAATTGGAGGTGACAACACAGGCTACAATGAAGTCATGGGCACACAAGGTCTGGGCTACATGAACGAGAATGGTGAGAGATTTGCAGACCTATGCTCACTAAACCAGCTTGTGATAGGAGGAAGCATCTTCCCTCAAAAAAGAATTCACAAGACCACATGGAGATCCCCTGACCGTGTTACAGAGAACCAGATTGATCATATCTGCATTAACAAAAAATTTAGAAGAGCATGGAAAGATGTCAGGGTGATGAGAAGAGCAGACATTTCATCAGACCACCATCTGCTGATGACGGCATTAAGGCTACGTCTGAAGAAGTTCAACAACATAACAAACAGGAGGACAAGTTACAACGTGAGTGCCCTCAAAACAAAGGAAGTAAAGACAGCATTCCAACTAAGCTTGTCAAATAGATTCCAGCTACTACAAGACCAGCCTGAAAACAACGATACCAACACTGAGACCCAAGGGCAGCACATCAAGGAAGTGTGGCAAGGCACATGCGAGGAAGTCCTAGGCAGAAGAAAAACTCAGCACAAGGAGTGGATCTCTGGTGATACCATGAGGAAAGTGGAGGAGAGGAAGGAAAAGAAAGCAGTGCTGAATACAAGCAGGACAAGATCAGCAAAGACAAAAGCTCAAGAGGACTACACAGCCACAGACAAAGAAGTTAAGAAAAGCATCAGGAAAGATAAAAGAGATTACATCGACAACCTGGCCAAACAAGCTGAAGAAGCGGCGGGACAAGGAAATTAGAAAGAACTGTATATGATAACAAAGAAGCTTGCCAACAAGTTCCAGCAAACAGACAAGCCAGTGAAGGACAAAAACGGGAAAACTCTTACAACAACAGAAGAAGAATTAAAGAAATGGGTAGAACACTTCAGAGAACTATTAAATAGACCATCACCAGAAACCGGACATTCAACTAGCCAATACAGACCTCCCGATAAACTGTGATAAGCCAACAAAGACAGAGATCAGGAGAGCAATTAATAAACTTAAAAATGGAAAAGCGGCAGGGCCTGATGAGATACCAGCAGAAGCGATCAAAGCTGATACAGAGACAGCCATTAACATCCTATACAACCTTTTCAACAAGATCTGGAAAGAAGAGAACATCCCAGAAGAATTGAAAGAAGGCATCCTTATTAAGCTGCCAAAGAAGGGAGACTTGAGAGATTGCAGTAATTACAGGGGGATCATGCTCCTATCAGTGCCTGGGAAGGTCCTCAACAGAATACTTCTCGAGAGAATGAAAGAGGCAGTGGACCCAAAGCTCCGTGACCAACAGGCTGGTTTTAGAGCCAACAGATCATGTGCTGACCAGATAGCCAGTCTACGCATCATTACAGAACAATCACTGGAGTGGAAGTCCCCCCTATATGTCAACTTCATCGACTACGAAAAAGCATTTGACAGCGTAGACCGAGAGACATTGTGGTAGGTACTGAGGCACTATGGAGTACCAGAGAAGCTAGTCTCCCTGATTAGAAACACCTACCAAGGCATGATATGCAGAGTTACCCATGCTGGCCAGATGTCTGAGAGTTTCGAGGTCAAGACAGGAGTCCAACAAGGTTGCTTGTTGTCACCATTTCTTTTTCTCTTGGTCATTGACTGGATCATGAGGACAACCACAGCAGGCAGGAACAATGGCATACAGTGGACACTCCTGACGCAACTTGACGACCTTAATTTTGCAGATGACCTGGCTCTCCTTTCACACAACCAAAGCCAGATGCAGGATAAAACAACCCACCTTGCAACAACATCGGCAGGAACGGGCCTCAAAATTAACTTGAGGAAGACAGAATTGATGAAGATAAACACCACTGTCCAAACACCAGTCACAGTTGGTGGTGAGGCCATCAAAGAAGTTGAATCCTTCATCTACCTGGGGAGTGTGGTGGCCAGGACAGACACGGTGGCACAGACTGCGACATCAAGTCAAGAATTGGCATGGCTAGAACGTAAAGTCCGTCCTACTGTAATGTGCAGAGACGTGGAGGATGACTAAAGTTACCCTACAGAAGATCCAGACATTTTACAACACCTGTCTCAGGCGCATCTTCAACATCCGATGGCCTGATAGGATCTCAAATGAAGAACTATGGATGAGAGCAGGACGGACAGGAACCAATGGAGGTACAAATAAGACAGAGGAAGCGGCGCTGGATTGGACACACATTAAGGAAGTCACCATCCAGCATCACACGCCAGGCCCTGACCTGGAACCCACAGGGCAAAAGAAAACGAGGAAGACCTAGAAACACCTGGAGGCGTGACTCGGAGTCGGAGCTAGGGACACAGAATATGACCTGGCACGATGCAGCCAGAGCAGCCCAAAATCGTGTTCGTTGGAGGACGGTCGTTGATGGCCTATGTTCCTCACGGAACGACAGGCTTAAGTAAGTACTTTGAGAGCTTTGATAGGATTGATTACAATACATTTTAATGGTGTTACGATTTAAATTCAATGAAATACGTAACATAAGAAAATCTATTTTAGGCTTGGAATTTATTTGAAAAAAAATCAGCTCTTTTTATAGATATAATACTTTTAATATTAGATGTACTTGGTAGTAATTTAAATATTGATTATAGATGTTTCTTTAATATTTGATGCTTTAGTACATTATTGTTCACTATAATACTTCTGTGTTAGTCTGTTATGGAATTATTACAAGTTTAAGGGTAAGTCTGCTAAGAAATAATTATATACAAATTTAAGGGTAAGTCTGCTAAGAAATATTTATATACAAGTTTGAGGGTATGTCTGTTAAGAAATAATATAAAAGTGTAAGGGTACGTCTGATAAGAAATAATTACTAGTATATACACTGTACAAGTTTAAGGGTATGTCTGTTAAGAAATAATTATATACAATTTCATGTACTTTGACACTTTGAAAAACTTAAGCGAAAACTTTGATACTTCGATTATCTTTGGCAAAAACTTTGACACTTTGATAAACTTTGGCGAAAACTTGACACTTTGATTTACTATAGTTAACTTTACACAATTTCAATTCATTAAAGCAAAAACATGCATTTAAATTTTTCATCAAACTTCAACAAAACCATCAAACATGCACGTCTTTGTAAATAAAAGAGAGATAAACGCCTTTGAATTTAGATCCAAAGAGTATAATGTGTATGACCACATGCAGGAAACAAATACACCGGAGGGAAGTAACTCCTACAGTTACACATCACCTGAACCCTCAGGAAAATCAACCTGTCAGCAGGAAAACGGATCAGGATCTCTAGGAATCGTTTTAGATGATTTCGATGAGAGAGAAGATGATCCGACGTGTAGTGACCGCTCAGAGGAGATATCTAAAGAAAAAGAGGTCAGTGTCGTTTATTTTGTGCTTGAGAAAGAAGTGCAATGAACAAAGAAAACATTTTTCATGTACTAAAGTAATTTTTATAGAGCATGATACACAGAATCTATGTTATAAGAAACCTATTTTATATTTTTTATTAATTTCTTTAGTACCCTATTTACTTTCTTCTAGATGTTCAAAGAACAAATGAAAAAAATAAGAAAATTGCCATGACCAGAACTTCGATTGAATTTTAGCTCATAAAAATCTGCAGCATTTGTTTGAACGTTTTTTACTCAGCATTTATTTCGCAGACTTATAAAAATGAACTGATACCAGAT